ACAGTTAATAAGCAATTTTAAAGTTCTTTATGTGGTTGTGTAGAGAAAAGACGGCGCTACAAAACTGCTATCTCGGAATTTCAAAATTTTGGAATTTTGACCCCCAAAAATAAAAAAATGATTTTTTTTAGAAAAACTCAAAAAATTTCCAAAAATTTTTCGAATTTCGAAAAAAACCGGAATATATGTGATAGTCCCTGCGCTCTTCGATATACATACCAAATTTAAGATCGATACCTCTTTTTTTGGCCAAGTTATAGCGAAAAAACTGTTAAAAATTGATGACGTCAAATTTTTGAACTCAATTTTTAGCAATTCTAGACCTTCTAGCGCAAAAAAGAGACCACCATTGAACTCCCCGTGACGAGCTGCATCGAATCGGTACCCATTTTATGCAAAAATATCAACTTTGAAATTTGACCTAATTTGACCTGACCTTGATCTGACCTTGACTTGACCTTGACCAAAACGTGACCTAAGCTGGCCTTAAAGTCTGCCTGATCCACATAATCGCATTTGTCATGTAAAATGGACCATGAAACATGTATCACACGACACTTTCATATTGTGACCCCCAGTGACCTGACCTCTGTGACCTGACCTGGTATCAGTGACCTCAAATAGCAAAATATGTGTTTGAAGAACATTTCCCCATCGATGATTGTCAATGAAATGCATTTTACTCGATTTTACAACGCATTTCTTGAAATGCCTGTAAACGGTGAAAATTCGACCTTTGACCTGACCTGTGACGTCATCGGTTTGTACGAGGTCAATGAAATTAGGTCACAAGGTAGTTCCCCGTTGGGGCTATCCAACGCCGTTTACCGCTTGTCGCTATGTTGCGTGGTTCTCGAGATCTTAGGGGGGCCAAAATGCCCCCCCCCCCATCAGAACGCGTTGCTAGGCAGACCCCATCAGGGCGCGGGTTAACACAAAAGCTATTGTGTATTTGTGTTATTGTGTATTATTGGGTTTCTGAACCTGTTGATGGTATGCAATAAAAACAAAATAAATACAAGTGTAGAAGGTAACGGATGTGGGAATGGTAGGTCGTTACAGGTCTCGCGGGTTTTAGCGGTAGGTTTTGCACCTAGAAAATTTAGTGTACTTCAGGCTATATCTTCGTCGTCTTAAGCTTTTAAGTGTTGAAGATGCGATCGACTTGTTGGGTAACAAGCCGGCCACGATCGTGTAAAATTACTTCATTGTAGATCGATTAGTTTCTGAGATATAACCGGAAATGTAAAAGTGCCAAACCTACCGCTTAATCTCGCGAGACCTGTACAAATAAAGGCTTGCATAGTATTGACGGTATTGACGATATTTCGGAAAGTTTGGGCCCCCATCTTGTTTGGGCCCTTTTTCTGAAAACCTGCCCCCGCAAGGCGAAATCCGTGGCGCCGTCCCTGGTGCTGGGGGGGGGGGGGGTCCTGGTCGGCCTGTCCATTCGGACGGGCTAAGCCCCGGCGACTCTAGGCCCTAGGGTGTCTGCCCAGACAAATGTCTCCCCCTAATTCCTATCATTCTTCCGGCTCTGAAATGGTCTTGTCAGACCGAAAGGGCCTAACCCAACAAAACAAAAACAAGCAAGCAGCGTGCGCCAGTCGCAGCTGGGCTGGCTGTGCAGCGCCGGCTCTCGATGACACGTCTATGGCCGAGTGGGAATGGGCGTGAATTGGTGCGTGTGCCTGTACTATAGCATAAGTGACCAATCTGAGCTGTTTCTACTTTGATATATTGAGCCTGACTCTGGAATAGCCACACTTGAGTGGAACGGATCTAATTGGGACGTGAACTGAATAAATGTATGACTATGACTAAGCAAGTATGAGTAAGCACACAAAATGCAACATAAATCGGTTTCTTGGTTGGTGATATCACGAAAACGTGTTGGCAATAGTCTAATTATGTTACAAAAATGCGTGATAAAATTACTCAAATTAATTTGAAAATTTATAGATGGCGTCAGGGTACCGAAGATGGCAGGTGAAATCGATCTCCCTTTCTTTTCCGGGGTCCACCTATGATCCACCTGGCACCTCTTGTTCACTTGTGAACCTACAAAAAATGTTCATTTCAATCGCTATTGCATTTGTTATTTTACACACTTAACGTCATGATCTGAGTAGAAAATATTCGCTGTGTGTAATTACTTTCCAATACCTTCCAACATTCACTGGACGCGCCTAGATATTTTTTAATGTATAGCTTGCAAGTGTTCCAGAACTTAACTGAAATGAGTCACTCCAGGACAATCTAACTATTACCAAGCCGCTCATCAAATGCTACGTTGCATATCAATATCACACCCCTTTTTTGGACGCCTAGATCGTGCTATTATAACCCTCGCCCTGGCAGGGCATTTTTCGTAATGCGGCCTGGGGGGGGGGGGGGGGGGTGATCCGACCTCCTGGCATTTCGAAACTAAACGTCGTAGCGCTTCCCAACAAAGACAAGTCGATTGCTCTTTACGAGTATTCGCGACTGGTGATACCTATATTTTTATCCTAGGTCAATATTTGACACCGTTTTGGCTAGTCAACGATCAATTTACGGGGAAAAGCTAAAATTTTCCAAGCTATTTAGCCAATAATGGCAAATCCATGAAAGATATCAACATGAAACTTTCACGACCGTGTTTCCCAATGAATTAGCAACAAAATGATGCATAGCTCACTGCAGTTCAGTCAATACTGGCGTGACATAGTCCCCGGGAACACGAGAGTCACACCCGCCGCTGGCGAGGACGGTCCTAATTGACCTGAGGTGACCTTGTACAGATCGAGGAACAATTTTGAAAGCATTTAGATGAAGATTGAACCACAGATTCGGATTCAGGACCTCAAGAAACCCCACTAAACACAGACATGCGAGGTCAATGACCTTTGTTGACCTTAGAAATGTCAATATACAATGTAATGTTTCATGTCCTGTCAAAATCTGACATAAGTCACACAGAATAATTTCGTTCTTGTCGATGGGATCGCGTCCAGTTACGCCAGATGTACGATTTTGTCAAAAAGAGTCGGAGGTTTTACCTATTGTGAGGTTATAGCTCGGTGACCTGACATGACCCGAAAATATTTTTTACCGAAAGATTGAGCTGAAAGTTAGCAAGTAGGTAGGCACCCACTAAGCCATGCATATCCATGTGCCAGATTTGGGGTGCTGTTGCACGTGCGCACGTGCAGGGGTCGATTCCAGATCTCGAAGACGGCTGGACCGATTGCGCTCAAATTTGGTACACGGTTAGGGAGCAGTTGGTAGGGTGCCGTGCAAAAGTCAGTTGGGACCCAGTTGGCACGTGCGCACATGCAGGGTGCCGCTTCCAGATCTCGAGAACGGCTGGGCCGATTGCGCTCAAATTTGGCACATCACTAGGGACCGGTTAGTAGGTCTTGGGGTGCAGTGCACAAGTTATTTGGTGGTACCCCCTCGCAATTTCGCACGTGCAAGGCCCACCCTCCCGCTCACTTCGTTGGTCGCCCCAAAAGGCGTTTTACTGGTGTGCACGATTACTTTATAAAAATGCTGAAGTGTTGCAAGTGATTGACAAATATTGTCCAAAGCATGCTGCCTTTGTCCAACCAAATTCCGATTTGGGCATAGGACAAAATCGGAATTCTGAAGGTTCAAAATCCAATTGGCACCACTCTAACAGATGTGGTAAGGTTGTGATAGGTTTTACCGAACGGAGATATAGACGATCTGCACAACTGACGAGAGAAGCCAACCTCTGTCAACTGGCTGGTGTGCAGCAAGCAGATATTGATATTCTGCAACGGTTATTTTTGTTGTTGTTTTAATCTTTCTTCAATAAGGTACCTATGTTAGAGCTGTTGTGCCTATTTGTTTATACACCAAACAACATCGGTGATAGCCAGATAACTATTTCATGGCGTGCAAAGAAAGACTGTTCAAGTTACCCAACGGTCGGGTTATTTGAATACACCGTCACTTGACGGAGAAGCAAGGCTTTACTTCACATTTTTCAAAAAATATGTTCAACTTGAAACTTGATGCACTCTATGGCAATGACTCTTGTGAAGTTGTTCTTAGGAAAATAAAAATTTATTTCATTGGCTTCCACTCGCCAAACCCGCTTTTCCTATAGCTTAATCAAGGGATGAATCACTGGGTGGTTCTTTCGACCCCTCCTCACCCTCCTGCAATTGAAGTTAGCCGTTGGCAAAGACACTAATTCGTGCAGGGGCTCATTTTCACTTGTCCTTTTAATGTAATCGGTGACTTAAGCCGCCGGCCAAATGAACAAAAATCCATACAAACCCAGGTGATGCCACAGGCCCACGGCCCTCATCCCTGTCAGCGTCCACTCCCTCGGCGGCTTGTCAGCGTCCACTCCCTCGGCGGCGGCGGCGGCGGCCCGCCGTGCCGTGCACCGCGGCATGTTACCTCTCGCCGCGTCAGGGGCCGCGGGGCGGGACGCTACCCCCCGCTGCGACAGGCGACCCCTGGGCCTGGGCACCGCCGCGGCGGGCGACGGACGACAATAGCGCAAACAAAGGATGGGGCCGCCAGTCAGCCGGCGTAGTGAATGGGTAAATCCTTACTCGATAACACAGCAGGGACTGCTCCACGAACACGGGCAGGCCGTACGGCAGTAGACATTCGATGGAATAGGCGATTCGGGCGTAGGTCAGCCGGGCGTAGGTCACCCGGGCGTAGACATTCGATGGAGTAGGCGATTCGGGCGTAGGTCAGCCGGGCGTAGGTCACCCGGGCGTAGACATTCGATGGAGTAGGCGATTCGGGCGTAGGTCAGCCGGGCGTAGGTCACCCGGGCGTAGACATTCGATGGAGTAGGCGATTCGGGCGTAGGTCAGCCGGGCGTAGGTCAGCCGGGCGTAGACATTCGATGGAGTAGGCGATTCGGGCGTAGGTTAGCCGGGCGTAGGTCAGCCGGGCGTAGACATTCGATGGAGTAGGCTATTCGGGCGTAGGTCAGCCGGGCGTAGACATTCGATGGAGTAGGCGATTCGGGCGTAGGTCAGCCGGGCGTAGGTCACCCGGGCGTAGACATTCGATGGAATAGGCGATTCGGGCGTAGGTCACCCGGGCTGATCCCGTTCTCTTCGCCGGACCTGTACGCCCGCCAGCGGTGGAGGCGCATCCAACACCTGGCGAACGACTTCTGGGCCCGCTGGAGAAGGGAGATCGTCTACGCTGCACAAGAGAGACGCAAATGGACGAGGGTTGTGCAGAACATCGAGGTCGACGACATCGTTCTCGTCGTGGACGACGAGCGCCCGCGCTCGGAGTGGCCGTTGGCGCGTGTCGTCGCTACGCACCCGAGCGGCGACCACCTGGTGCGGAAGGTTCGCGTGCTCCTGGGCGGCTCCGAGTACGAGAGGCCGGTGCACCGCCTTGTGCTTCTCCTGCGGAGGGACTGTACGTGATTCCCCGTCGAGGAAGCCTGATGTGGATTGGTCAGGTCGACCAATCGAAGCACAAAGTGCTCAGTGATCTGCTACGGACTATATTGATCAGTGAGTGGGATGATCAGTGAGCGATCAGTGAGTGCGCGTGCAAAACTGAACTCGCCAGAGGAGCGTGACGATGTGTTGGGTGTTAAGGTGTTACGATGTGATCTCGCGTCGAGATTTAGAGGAAGTGCAAATTTTGTTCAAATTTGGGGGAGCCATGTTCCCGCATTACAATTTGCTTGCGGGTTTCCCCAGGAATAGCGCGGCGAACGCGGCCCTTGATTTGTTTGCGTGGCGCACTGCGCTTCGTGGCCAGTGATTCGGCGCTGAGATATCTGACACGTGGGCTATGCCAAAGGAAGGAGAGAGTAGGTGACAGAATAGATGATATTTATGATTATGTTATTATCCAAATGGTTTGCCAATATGTTACTGACTTGTTACGTTACTGATTTAACCATTTATTTGCTTTATTTCTCATAATTTTGGCTGTGATAATCTATGCTTTATATGAATGAGCGTCATATTTGTATCAATTATCGTTTTTATGGACTGATTGTTATTTATGTGTATTTTTCAGTTATTACGTACATCAAAGAGGCGACAATAGATAAATCCTATCAAACGAATCTTTTGCCTGCCGTAACACTTCATTCTTATGCAAAACAAACAATGCCCATTTACACGTTTCACAAACATCTGTGTCGGCGTGTTCTTCCTCTATTTGCCTCTATTCACACAGAATCGTGAGACATTCTTATGACTGGCTATCGGCACATGGTTTTCGTTTTCATGGGCTTTGCCGGCTAGCTTGATTGGCGTTATGTGTACCCGCGATTTTGCTAACGGACGTAAAAGCTGCCAAATGGGGTTATCAGTGCTGCCAGACCCCTGGCCGCCGTTAAAAACGGTTATTGGTCTCATCAGCCTTCTTAGCGCCGGTATCGCCAGCCTGGAGGACGGAAAATGTCACCGCAGGCGGGTATGTTAACCCGCGCGGGGCTGGGGGGGGGGTAAATTTTACCCCCCCTCGCGAATTTTTGCGATATCTCAAAAACGGCGGCGCGCAGCGCCGCCAAACTTTCAGTACCTTTTCTTACATCAATTTGACACGTTCCCTGAAAATTTGAGCGAAATCCGTCGGAAAATTTTTGAGAAATTGACGTTTTAGTGACGTCATGTTCGCCATTTTCGCCTCAAAAACGGCAAAAGTTCAAACGCCGCTAACATCTTCATTTTTAAAGGAATCAAGACGTAACAAAAAAGGTTATACGTAATTTTACTTTGTCTATCAAATGGCAATCTCGGTTTTTGAAAATTTTGGATTTTGGCCTAAATTTTTTCAAAAAACTGACTTTTTTGGGAAAATCATTATAAAATCCAAAATTTTGAGTCTATAAAAAAACCGGAATATATGTCAGAGAAGTGGTCTATGTGCACCTACATACCAAATTTTAGAAGAATCGGTTCAAAAATGTGGGAGTTATTCAAAATGTTATGACGTCACGACACACAAAATTTTTGAAAAATGACTTTTTTGGAAGTTCTAGACCTCGTACGGAAACAAAAATAGCACCATTCGATTCGCCGTGAAAAACTGCATCAGATAGACACCTTTTTAAGCCTTAACAACCAACTTCAAAATTTGACCTCACTTGACCTGACCTTGACCTGACCTCGACCTGAAATTCATCCAGAGGTGGTCCATATCACTTATTGAGTGTGCCTATTGAATTCTATGAGTAAAATGACCCATAAAACATGTGTCGCACATGCCCTTTTCTATGTTTTGTTTTTTGGTGACCTGACCTGACCTGACCTGACCTTGACCTTGACCTCTGAATGATATTGTATGCAACGAATATTGTCTTGGTAGCCTAAGAACACGTTTTGGGCGATCAGTCTCAGTCCATGACTCCATTCTCCGGCAACTACGGTGCAAGGCCGATACTGTAGAAACTTGCAATTTGTACCCTTGACCTGACCTTGACCTTGACCTCAAACTTTAAATTAAGTACATGTTTCTAGTAGTTCGTGATGAGAGCTTTCGATTGGCGTTTGAATTTTCCAAATCGGACCATTAGTTCGGGAGATAACAGGGGGGGTAAAATTTACCCCCCCCCCCCAGCCCCGCGCGTTCGGCTGGAGACCCCAGCCCCGCGCGGGTTAAGTCAGGCCTTATCGACTCGCCGGGACCTGCGCCCTTTTCATGATGTTGCTGTGAGTAAAACAGGTAGTCATGTTTGGTACAGGAATTAATAACGCATTAGCCTCAGATCCTCAATTACACATTTGTTTCCGTTGTAATCAAATACGTAACTAAATGATCCCGTCTGAGCACAATCCTTCATTGTTTTTTTTTTTTTTAACCTTCACCGGCAGCCGTCCCCGCAGCGTCTATAATTTATTCCGTGTTTTCACTAAAGTACCTCGCGCTCCCGTCACCTTGTCAGTGTAATTAGGTTCCACGTTCCCCGTCAAACAGGCCGCGGCTCTCCTCCAAGTCAACGGAAGACACAGGGCGACTAACGAGATCACCGAGCTAAACTGCTGAGCGTCCTCAGTCGTCTCAGTGCGAGCGAGTGCTGGACTGAACGGCTGCAGCACTATCAGCGTTCTGCTCGTATCTCTCACTCATTCACTCTCGCTCGCTCTCTCTGTCTCTGTCTCTCTCTCTCTCTGTCTCTCTCTCTCTCTCTCTCTCTCTCTCTCTCTCTCTCTCTCTCTCTCTCTCTCTCTCTCTCTCTCTCTCTCTCTCTCTCTCTCTCTCTCTCTCTCTCTCTCTCTCTCTCTGCCCCTCTCACTCCTCTCATTGTCCTTGCGTATCTCTCTTATTCGTCGTATTTCTCTCGCTGGATGTGAACGAGTGCTAATGGACCCTATCAGCTGAGTGGAGAGCCTCTCCAGTTGTTGTGATAAGGGGACACGGTCGTCGTAGTTGCCTCCGGCCGTCCCAGTGGGAAAATCAGCAGCATTGGCGAGTAGTGTGTCCGTCCCGTTACCGTTTTGTCGGGAGCTGCCCCATGCTGATAGTGCTGAAGCCGGGGTGATTAATCTGTCTGCTGGGTCCCCATGGGTAACCTTTTTACTAATACCTGTGGTGGCGGGCTGTCCATAGCTAGAAAAAAGAGCGGGGAGTGATGTGACCTAATGTGCTTGAATTCCCCTCCTTGAATGAAGTTCCATGGTACTTAACGTAGCCAGGTCACATGGGCATGGAAGGGCACTCCTGCATACCTGTTCCACTATGTTTCACATGGTGGACAATTCAATAGGTATGGGACAAAAAAAAATGGTGTAGATTAATGTGCTATTTTATATCCTGTCCCAGCATTACGTAATCAGATCTGACTTTTGCGTTGTGCCGATCCGCCCAACTCAGTACGGTGCCGGAGTTCCTGGAAATGTTCCTAAGGTCGGTCACGAAAAGTTTTGCAAAGCCATTCACTTATTGATGCAAAACTTGTAGATGCAGCCGCAGCCATTTGTTCCTGAAAGGCTATATCCTCCCTACACTGTAAACCAAATCTACAAGTTGGCTCCTTGTTACAAGTTTGGTTCCAATTCGCATAGGCGTCACCTTGTCGATACCTTGTCGATTCACCAACCCCAGGCTTGTTGGCCACCAAACTAACAGTTTGTCTACAAGTTTGGTTCCAATTCGCATAGGCGTCACCTTGTCGATACCTTGTCGATTCACCAACCCCAGGCTTGTTGGCCAACAAACTAACAGTTTGTCTACAAGTTTGGTTCCAATTCGCATAGGCGTCACCTTGTTGAGTACTAGTCTGGGCCTTGTGGGCCTACCAACTTCTGGATAGGCATAGTCGTTGCCTTGTCGGTTCACCAATCCCTGGTTTGTTGATGAACTAGCCTAGCCTTTGACTGGGCATTGCTAGCTTACAAATTGTCAACAAGTAAGTGTACTAACACTCTGTTCGAACTTGCTCTTCCTTACAATCGCTTTGTTTGCGTTGATACTTGATAACCTTAAGAACTTACGATTCGCGTTCGTTTTCAATTGCCACGATACTGATTCAGGAAATATTTTCTATACGGACAGGTTATTTTTTGGCTGGAGGTGGTGCACAAAACCATGACTGGCATCAGTTATTGCTCATGCTCAAAGGCTTGCGCTGACAAGAAACGAAATACTGATGGGTTATATAATCAATGAATGCATACATCACATCCATTCGGAAGTTTCTGGAATCATTAGTGTTTATTACGGTCACGTAATTAATACTATTGACTGGAGACAATTCCTAGTGCATATTTCCGAATGGATGTGGTAAATGCATGAGGTAGGTATACCCAGTAGGTATACCTATCGTGCACCGTCAGCATATAAGTCTTTGAAGCAATAACCGCTGCGTATGTGGAAGAACATGGTTTTGTGCACCGCATCAAGCCAGAAGTATAACATGCCCGTATGACGAATATTTCCTGAACATTAAGCATAACAATAATGGCAGTTGCACGATCACGCAGATACCTAATTCGAATAAATCATGATCGCCAACCAGATTAGCTTTTACAGCCCATATATGTCCATCAGTTAAGTTAAAAATACAAAGAGTTGAATTAAAGGCAAATAAATGTATTTATATATAAAAAACACCGACCGCAAAACATCTGCTCACATGTGCATGCACAGGTCTGGTCCACTTACATTGCGCGCGCAGGGGAAGGGAGGCGTCTCGACCGCGGGTATAGGCACGATTAGTGCGTCCCGCAGGCCAGAGGGGGCCTCACTCACAGCACGAACACCACAGTTCACAGATTTCACTTTTTACTGCACAAATGCTGGAACAGACCTCGTCGCTGCTCCAGGCTGCACGGCGGCCGCGCGACAACTGCTGGTTCGAAACCGCCGCGCCGGGGCCCGCTAACGGTTGGCGGCGACCGCTGATTGGTCCGCCAAGTCTGACGTCATGGGCGCAGCTGACCCTGGCCCTGTTTCACCGGTGATAGCAGCACGCTGCTATCACGTTTCGCGAGCTGACGTCATGTCATGACGCCATACTGTTGACGTGATGGGCATTTCCGGCGCACGATTGCCGCGACCTTGGCCTCGGCATTAAGTGACGTTCGAGCCTAAAAGTAAGAGTTTACGCAGTCATGATAGCATATTTATTTTTAATATATATATTTTTGGACATGATGTATTTAAAAGAAATTGGGTATAAGGGAAATTAGGACGGAAACTTCGAACATTTAGTTGATGACGTAAAATAATATTGCGGCAATCGTGCGCCAGAATTGCCCCTTACGTCAGCAGTATGACGTCATCACATTACGTCAGCTCGCGCAATTTGATAGCAGCGTGCTGCTATCACCGGTGAAACAGGGCCCATGTGTATGCTGACCAGCTGACCAGTACAAGTTAGGCGCCGGTTAAATAACCATGCGGCAACAAGTTTCCAAAACTGGTTAAGAAACAAACGTTGAAACAAATGTAGAGTTGGTCTGGATACTGAGAAGTTGGTGTGCATAGTAACTATTGACTCGTGGTTGTCACCTGACAAGCAATGCACCAGACAACGGCTTGTTTAAAAAGTATCAGTTGGTAAACATACCAAGAGATGATTGGTTATATTACACAAGACATGTCAATTTGGTTTA